ATAGTTTGCATGCATAACGTAGTGAATAGCGAGTCCGGAGAACTATGCAATTTTAGTGAAAACGTCCCTTATGCTCAACACAGTACAAAAGGGTTAAAGTATGTGAATTTGCATGAGTTTTGAAAGCATTTATGTTTAGCTTGTATTCTCCCCCTGAAAACATTAAAAACATGGAAAATGTAGGGGTATGAACTCACCTTGAGCGAGTGGTTTGCACGAAAGTCCGGTAAGGGATGTTGAGTGTCTAGCGGAACCTCGAACTCAAAATGACCCTAATAACATGTAATGACACACATAGGAGTCAAATGAAGGTATTTCACCACTAAATACCATAGGGAATCACTCTAGGGACTTGGAACTACTTGCACCAAGTGATAGGACCTTGTAGGATTGAGTATGGGGAGTGTATGGCCACATTGAGTGTATGTGCGGCCATGGGTGTGCGGCCCAATGGGTGTGCGGCCGTACACTCATGAAAGGAGGTGTCTTTGAAGTGATCTCAAGGTCTATACTCACATCTACGAAGTGTTCTAGGTCTATACTCAATTGTAGTGCAAGATAGGGGTCCTAGAAGTGGGTTTGCGGCCCTGTGGTGAGTGTATGGTCGCACACTTGGGTGTGTGGCCGCACACTTGAGTGTGGGCGGCCGTACACAGGTGTGTGCGGTCGTACACCCCACAAAATGATGACCAAAATGTCCATCCCAAGGTGCAACAAGGCTAGGGGCATGTCTATCTCGAATATGGAAGTCAAACTCTCACATTAGAGGGTGTTTTAAGAGTGTGCGGCCACCTTAAGAGGGTGTGCGGCCGCACTCACTACCAACACGAAGAACATGTCCATTTTTGCACACATAAGGCTTAGATAGAGGGGTCTTTCATGGATTCTAAGCTAGAGGAAGAAGTACTCACGTTCTTGAAGCTTTGGAAGGTTCAAAGTTGGAGAATCTTGAGAGGAAATGATGTTGTGTGCTGCCAAGGTGCTAAAGGAATGAAAGAAAGGGGCTACCCTTTATATAGGGGTAAGGGTGCTGCCCAAAAGTGAGTGTGCTGCCAAGGGAGTGGGTGTGCGGCCGCACACCCATGTGTACGGCCGTACACTCCTCCAAGAGGTGTGTATGGCCCGGTTTCCTCACTATGTGGCATGATTACTCATTCCTAATCTCAACCTTGGTCAAGTTCAAGCTTAGAACACTTAAATGAGCCCTTAAATAGTGCCAGAAATCGACAAAACAAGTTGAATATTGATTGAATTGACTAAGTGTACAAGATTGAAGTTTCCGGGTTGTCACACTAGGGCTCAAAAATCTTACGTGATCCATCCGCATGCCTGAGCAGCCACAACCAAAAGATTGGCTGAAACATAAACATTGTCGCGAATTATGGTATCCAACCATGCTATCTTCCCAACCAGCCCTTAGAATCCCCAAAACCTTCCTTGCTTCGAGTATGGACCATGTGCTTCCAGTAGTACAGGCCCAATACTACCTTCCACACCTATCCATACTTTCCTCACGATCCATTTCGGGTTTCGTAAGTCATGGTCATAAAATTCTCCTGAAACCTGCTCCTCGGTGAAACAACCGCACTAAATACTCCCTAGGCTATCATTGGACTCACCCAAACCCCCTCTGCCATCAGCTGCTAAAAGACCCCTACCATTGTCAGCTAACCACTTATGAATACAATTACATGCAACCAAGCTTAAATAATCCTTCGACTAAAGGACTCAGCCCTACAACGGTTGGACTAAGACCAGAGCTGCGCAATAGGTCCAAGTCCTTCACTCTAAGATTATTTAACCTTCATAGCATGTAATTTTATTGTATTCATTTGATGGTTATCTCTCATCAACATGGGTCCCCTAAAGCACAAAGCAAGCAACATTCGAGCAGAGAAGTCGGCTGGCACTAAAACACAATAAAATCAGACAGATCCTCATATGAAATCCTCGATCTCAAACTCCCCGCACCACGGGTGCACCTTCACCCTACACTCACTCTCACCAAAGTGGCTAATCATTACTCGCGTTGAATCGCTATACACTACACCCATTCATGAAACTTCCACCAACCCTACAACACTCATGTATGCTAGCCATACATAACACTGGATCCTATAGACAGTCGAATACCTGATCCTACCCTAATCCCTTCATCAGACAAGAACAGGAAATAAGGATAAATCAAACATTCTCAAGCTATATAATCTTAGTTATGTACAACTATGATGCATACACTAAGCAACTACAATAATGATGTCAATTACATATAAGAAAGAAACCTAGACTATCATGCATCGTATAATTAGGCAATCATACCAAGCAATTCCTGAAGATCCCTAGCCTATCACTAGCATGTTGTTCTAACATATCACAATATCAAAGAACATTGTGGTAATTTCGAGTCAACTTAATGGCTCCGGCTGATCGCACATCTCCCATCCTCTTTTGGTTATTTTGACAGCAACTTTGAAAGTTATTTTTAAAACCCTTACTTTGAAAATGATTTTTTTTAAAACCCCTTCTCCTTAGTTTGAGACTGGATTCACACGAGTGTTCCTCCAATTCACTCAAACCAAGGCTCTGATACCAACTTGTAACATCCCAAAAATTTCAACAAATTTAAACTTTTCAAAACAGCCCATTTATTAACAAAAGTGTTTACACAAAACATTGTCTCCAAAACATGATTTAAAATCATAGTCTCCCAAGAATCAATCCGTTGTAAAACCAAGGATGTATACGGTCACGCCTTCGCCTTGCCATGAACCATCTAAAGAAACTGAAACCATAAACAAACTATAAGCACGAAGCTTAGTGACTTCCCCCAAAATACCACCGCACAAACATATAGCACATAAATAACAACAATGTGCACTGGTCCACGACTAAAAGACTAGATTACCCATGAGCCCACAATATGAGTATGGCTTGCCTATCAGGCCCACAGCTCATATCTGGCCTGCTATTGAGCCCACAACATAAGTGTGGATTGCCCCCAGGGCCCACAACTTATGTCTGGCTTGCTCCCAACTCAATCAGTTATCAGACTAGAATACCAATGTTCACCCTCAGTACGAGTATGGCATACCAACCGGTCCACAACTCGTATCTGGAATGCTACTGAGCCCTCAGTATAAGTCTGGCATGCCCTACCCGGCCCTCACCTCATATCTGGATTGCTCCAATACCCTCAAGCCCTCAGTACGATTCTGGCATACCAACCGGGTCCTCAGCTCGTATCTGGAATGCTACCGAGCCCTTAGTATAAGTCTGGCATGCCCTACCCGACCCTCAGCTAATATCTGGAATGATACATGGTTTGTTGGCTATAGCACGAAGTAGTACAACCTCAACCCAACACATTATGCTGATAGATAACCAAAATATATAGATAATCATGCAGACAGAATCATAGGTAGTCCTACAGATCTACCATACTGACATATCGGCAACTAGCATAATCATGCAGATTTATTCCATACTTAGCATATCAACAATATTAGGTTATCAAATCAATGGGCCAGCCTTGGTGCTTTCGACCTGAGAGCATAGTGAGGAAGACTCACCTCACACTGCCGAACATGAAGACGATCCCTGGCTGCTGGCTGCCAGATCCCCGAACCTCCAATAACAAGACAACACCTCATCACAGTTGATCCCACGAATAATCTTTGACTGCAAATCCACTATGATTCACGAGCTATTAAATACCACAAAGATAACACATCAACATCTAGCCCCTGACTCACGTTATTAGTCCAAATTAGGGTAAAAGATCTTTTTACTCTTCTCAAGCTTGGCCCAAGCTAAGGCCCAAACTAGATGACCAAAGGCCCAAAATCCAAAACAAACATCTAACACCCAAATATGGCCCAATTTTCCAAATTGAGCCCAATTACTTTCGTGGGGCTTCACCCAAGAAAGTCCAACAGACAAAAAGCCCAAACCGTAGAATCCAGATGGCCCAAACACTCCAAATGATCCATTTGCAAATCTTGGTTGCATGTAATTGAATCTTGACCCGGAAAATTTAAGCGTGTTTTTAAAAATTCAACAAGTTCTTGAAAAATATTGCAATTAGATTCTATGTTTTTATGTTTTTTAGTAATTTAGGTTTAATTTTTTATGTTTTTTTAGTCATTTAGGTTTAAATTTCTTTGTTTTTATATGTTTTTTTTAGTAATTTAGCTTTAATTTTCTAAGTTTTTTTAGGTTAATTTTCTATGTTTTTTAATTAATGTAATGTGGTTTCAATTAATATAAAATATTGTTTTTTTCAAGCGGCAAATCTAACATACTCCTAAACTACACTTTAAATTCACCTATGTTCACTGGTTTCAATTAATATAAAATATTTTATTATGTTTTAAATTATGTTTTTTATTTCATTTAATCATAAAAAAATAATAAAAAATTATGAAATGATAACCATTTCCAATATCTACTAAATTGGTGATCGAGTTGATGTGACACTGAGTTGAACGTTTTTTAGATGTCTTGGCACTACTCCCCACAGCCCTTAAGCTAAAACAAACACCACTTGATTCTACCAAACTTTTTGACACTTGATTCTACCAAACTTTTTGATATTGGTAAATCAAATTAGCTAATAGAACAATAATGAAACTATAAAACAATAAATGATTTAGTCAAAGGCTCAAAGCTAAACATGTGGGGTTCCCTCACCAACTAATTATACACTAATCCCCAAAAATGGGCTGTTGATGAGACTAAGATTTCGTTACCAATTTTATATTTTCTTTCATCAAAAGACAATAAATATATAAAATCTATATTGTATAGTTTTTCTAAAAGAATCACACGATTGTGTCAAAAATCAAAATAACACTGCATCATTATAAACAATTCATTCTTTAGACATCAAAACAACCCCAAAAATTCCAAAAAGAATAATATAAAGGTATAACTTTCAAGATTTCTTATTTCTTTTTTTTTTTTCAGAAAACACAAACAAAACAATATTTATAAATTATATATCAACATAAAGGAGCTCTTCGAGGAACACCCTTCCTTTTATGCACTATTGTCTTTTTGATCTTTAAATTCGAAATTAACCAGCTGCTGCTTCCTTGTATATTTTCTTCAACCGATTCAAGTGATGAAGAAATAGACGACTCAAAGTCATAATTTTCTTTACAAAATGAATACAATTCCCCCTTTTTATGACTTTCGTTTTTATTTATATTCTCCACCATCATTGACACCTAAAGAAAAATAATAAATTAATAATTGAATATGGCACATATTAAACAATAATTAAATATATGTTTTTATGTTTTTATTTGAAATATATATAATAATACCTTGCAAGCAATTGAACAAAATCGATTTGGAATGTCTTGTATATGCCTCATGCAAGCTTCACAATAAGTTCCATAGATTTTCGATTTTATTGGTTTTGATTCTTTATGTTGTTGAGGCCGAGGATTCAAATGCACGGCTTTTTCACCATTGATTTTGTATGTCTACATATGGAAAATTCAATCAAATTCATCTCACATAAAACAAATATCAATGATTTGAATTTAAAATTTATGGTTAAATTAATACATTTTCCCACAAGAATACGAGTTTGATGAGTAATTGCACTAATAAAAAGTAATAACAAATCAATCTAATTTCGGCTGAAATTATATAATGCGATTCATTTGACTAATTTGTCACATAAATTAATATTATATTTAAATAAGTACATTAAAAATGTAAAAATAACTCTAAATTCATGAAATCTTAACTTTTGAATTCTGATCAAATCAAATCTCAATAGTCAATATGATTATAACTACACTGACAAATATAGTTCAAATCTAATTCTTTTAACTCATATAGAATTTATATATATCAATCCAATTAAGGTAATTATAAATACATATTATATTTCTAAAATTATATTAAATCATAATGAATTCTGAATTCTTGGAATCTTAAATTTTAAATTCAAATTCTGATCGAATCCAACTTGAATATGATTAAGTTCTATCATCATGAGTGAGAAAAAAAGAGACTTACTTGAATGTTGGAGCAATCAAGGTGTTTCTGAATGTCATGGAGACGAACGACGTCGTGGTAGACATACCGGCAGATTTGGAGACGACGATGATGGTGGTGGCATCGTGTTTTGAAAGCAGTAACACAGTGTCTACAAAAGCATAGATTACAGTCGATGCAAAACACATTCTTTTCGTTTTTTCGCATGTTTCTATGATCGATGCACGCCCCAAAAAACTTGCTTTCGAGCAAATTCACGATCCATTTGCAGTCGTCGAGTTCGCTCTTCGCCTTTAGTTGTTGTATCATCTTCTTCAGCGTTGAAGAAGAACTCGTCAAATTTCGATTCAGTTTGGAGCAAATGAGAAGATTAATGAATGGATCGATTGGAACTTATGCAAACCATTGAGTTTGATTTTGATTTTGATTGCAGAAATGGAAGGAATATGAGGGTTTTATGAGGTGATGGAAGAGGAGTCGTCAGACGAGAGAGTGGAGAAATCAGCTTTAAAAGGATGGGTTTTAATTATGAAAAATAGGCAAAAATAAAGGAAATCATCTTTTTTTTTTAATTTAAAAAGGTTAATATTAATATACTTCTTTTTGAAACTTTTAATTTTATTAGTATTATGTGTATGTTTGTTAATAAATTTTTAAAGGTTATCAGTGGTTATAAGTTTTAACAAATTAAAATTATTGAGTGTGAGGTTTTATATAATTTTTTTTTCTATAATAATTGCTTAAAAGGACACTGTTGTCAATTCAACAACTGATTACAAATAAAAATATTTTTAGATTTAAAATATTATTATGTTATCTATGACCCTCCTTATTTAAATTCAAAATTTAAGATTATACATAATGTGCATTAATTATCACTAATTTGTTTTACATTAAAAGTTAATGGTGACAAGAGAAGACGAAAAGCCCATGAGATACCAAAGTATCTGACATAATTTTTTCACTTTCTTTTAAACTTAACTTTTTCTCGCTTTTGATGCAATCACTTTGAGTAAAAACGAAAAATTAATATTACATTTTTTTTTAACGACAAATTATCTAATTCTAAACTACTCTTACATTCATTTATTAGTTTATAACCCGAGAAAACCATGTTTATAAAATTAATTAAATTTTTATAATAAAAATTTATAATTATTAATCAATTATTTTAAATAAATTATTAATTAAGAGATATATCAAAATTTTAAAGTTATTATAACTTCAAATTTAACATATAATTAGAAATTGTAAATTTGAATTTTAAAATGAGTTGCCTAATATATTTACATGATACATGACATAATATTAATGACAAGTTGTATTATGGTGACACTTGGCGAAAGTAAATTAAAAGTATTCATTTATTAGAATAGGGATATTTTCAACGAAACTTAAACCTTTAACCTTAAAGGAAAAGGATAACACCTAATACTATTGTGTTAGAAGCCATTTGGTAATATTGCATATTTAACATCAAAAGTAAATATAACTAATACAGTATTTTTAATTTTAGACTTTTTTTAGAAACGACAAAATATATTAATAAAACCCACGATCTAGTAAATAACTAGACAGGGGAAAAAGTGAGTGGAATGTTAAAAAGTCTTGTGGGACCCCGAACCCATGGGGTCCAGATCCCATATGGAAAATATATGTTAAAAAATCGGAGGCGAGAGTAAGGTTAACCCTCGTTTTAATTTTGGGGGCGGGGACATGGGTGGGCAGTACCGTCCCGAACCCCTTATGGGGCCTCGTTAATATATATATATATATATATATATATATATATATATATATATATATATATAATAGCAATGATTTTGAGCTTTCAAAATTCAACAAAAAACATGTTTTTAAGTTGTTAATATAATGTTTTTGAGACGTGATAACATTTTTGTTTTTAGCATGTAAAGTTATGTTATAAATAACTATTTTAACCTAAAAAAATAGATTCTTTAAGCCCAATCAACATCTTTTAGCTTAATAAAAAAAATATCTCAAAAGCAATCAGGGGCAGGGAAACAGGAACAGGGGCGGGGGTAATCCAGGAATTTAGGAGCGGGGGCGGGTGGGGAGGCTGGAAATTTCGGGGGCGGGGCGAGGGCGGGGGAATGAGGAAATTTCGGGGTGGGGCGGGGATGCAATCTTTGTCATGTTTGTCCTCGTTGACATCCGTAAAAGTGAGAACAATAATACAATTTAAAGTTATTATAACGAGGAGAGGGGGGAGGAATTCTAATCTAACGAGTTGCCAACAATACCATTACCTATATATTTGAGCCATTGGTAAACTAAAGATTTAATATTATCAATATTCCTGGATGTTGTGGTAGAGACTCGTCGAAATAATGTCATTTTTTATCTTGCAAAGGCTCCATATCAATCTGTAACAAATGCTCAATAGTTAGATTCATTTTTTAGGGCATCGACCCCACGATGTTGCAAATTGAAGCAACTCCCCTACATTGTTGAATTCAACCTTGTTTATTACACACCATTCGAATATTTTATCCTTTATAAAACTGGCATATAAACACCTAACAAGTATGTGATTAGCACATTTGATTGCACCAATACAAGAGCTACATTGTGTCGAGCTGATATGCATGTCGCATGTCGCGATGTTGTAGTGTTGTAGTAGGTGGAATCCTTCCTTGTGCTACCCTCCATGCACAACAGAGTACCTTAATTGGAATAATTTTGCACCAGCTAATATGTGGAAGAGTGGAGGAGTGTTGTGTACTACGATCAATTTTTCCCCATAGTGCTTCCATCGTGTATCTTCTATCTGGAGTTAACAGGCAGGTCCATTTGTCTTGACCAGGTTGGAACCGACACGAAGCTATCTCTTGTTTTAACCTGTTAAAGTATAAAAATAACCATGCGTTTAATGGGTAGGATTTCCATTCCCATTAATCACCAAGAATAAATATACGGGAGGCCACAAAATACGATTTACGTAGTTCTAAATCGTAAAGTGTAGGATACTTTGATTTTAATTTCACATTGCTCAACCAAGTGTCTTTCCAAAACATGGTCTTTTCGTCTGATTTGATCTCCTGTTTGAATATGTCATTGAGAGAGAGTCCAACTACTTGTATATCCTTCAAAGCCCCTACAATGTTTTTCCAAAGCCCAGTAATCATTTTCTTTGATAGACAGTGATATGGCCTTATTTAACTATATATTTTACACCATTATCTTAATATATTTAATTAAAATGTTATATTTTTAGAATGTTATATTTTTAGATATATGATACTCAATATGCTTGAAAATGTTTAATTACATTTAAAATGGGAGCTAGGATGCAAAAGATGGAGAATGGAGCTGAAAAAATACACAAAAATACGCAAAAAAGGATGTTGGATGCAGCTCGACCCCTCGTTAGTGTTTTGACCATATCTCATGACTCATAACTCCGATTGACGAGATTCAAGATGTTGTGAAAACTAAACAAACTTTTGGACAACTTTCGTATTTATGACAAATTCTAATTCTTAGGTCCCAAGCTGTGGCAAAGCCATCTCCACGGCATAGCAAATCCAGTTTTTGCATGGACGCGAAGATTCCATCTCCCACGGCGTGGCAACTTGTTGGCCATGCCGTGGAGCCGAAAAATCTATAAAAACACGATATTTCCAACCCCAATCGGTATGAGGGCTTTGGCAGCCTATAGATGACCATTCCAATTGCATGAACTTCATATTTAGCTATTTATGATCATTGAATAGTTAGATCTAGTGATTGAACAAATTCTAGGGTTAGATTATATTGATTAGTAACTTTGACTATGTTACAGAGAATTAATTATCCATATTATGTGTTTGTATTTCTTATCTTGATTATAGATAGGTAATTATAAGATCTTATCATTCATAGCCCAATTAATACTAAAATCAATTTAGTGTTCAACTTGTGCTTGACTGTGACATCCTCTAATTTTTAGAACCAATTAAAACTTTTCTTTACACTTTAAAAATCATTTATTTATATTTGCGGAAAATCCCAATACAAAAGATCATTTTGATTACCAATGTTTGTTCTAAAATGTTAAACCCCTACGGATGTCATAATCAATACAGATACATAAGTTACAGCATAAAGACATGATGGTCCCGAGTACTATTGTGGGTTGTCTCATAATCACTCAGCATCCTAATCAAGTTCCACTAGCTTAAGTCTTGATACATGAGATGCATATAAACTGAGTGGATCAGGTTGAGGAAACCTAGTGAGATACATAGGGATTTCAATCCCACAATATTGATATGATAATATTCCTTAATTATCAGACCGGCAAAACCAACTGTTACCATACTAAATCCATAAAGGCTTACATTCCTACATATTTGTTCCTACCAATACTCACATATTCTAGACTATCCATTTCTACCGATCCTCATAAATCCTAGACTATCCATTTCTACCGATCCTCACATATCCTAGTCCAAGATTATCAGAGAGAACTATCTCTCCGACGAACCATTTAAGGTAAGGGTTTGACTACACAACTAGGGGCTTCCTTGGTCGGTGTAAGTCATAAGGCACCCAAGCCTTCAGAGTATATTATGAATAAGGTATTACCTTTCATCTACGTATGTAGTTTATGATCCTACACTAACAATGTAATTCACAAGACCGTCTAGAATGATCAAGTGTTTCCACCTACTCTGTGGGGTGACCAGACATAGCACTAACAGTTTCTTGAAGGTGACCAACCAATTCTGATCACCCTGTACGGAGCTACCATACATCGACACCTAATAGTGTCATGGAACAAAACTTTACTCTCTGTTCCTAGGTTACGCACATTCTCCTAGTGCGACTACCTAATATCAAACTTAATTGAGCTAAGAGTCTAAGTTTATCCCTATACTAGATTACAGTGTCTATAACCAACCTTAATACCAACTCTATTCTTGGGTGACACTAACCCAATTCTAGTGTATTTATAACCCCTATAGAGCATTAGGTATTATTATTCTTTTATCTTCTTAGCAATGCTACTTTTAATACTATTATATGATGTTATCTATTTGATCCTAACATAAAATAGAACCATATCTGGTTCACACATAGCACAGTATATATCCTAACATATAATCCAGGCAATAAGCACATAATTCACATACGACTTCCAACAGATATTTAATATTTTAATTTAATACTCGTATTAAATCATATTCATGAAAGGGACTATGCACTCACTTGATAAAGTGTCTGGTGATTGGTGAATTGGGCAGAGCTTTGCCTACCACCTTTTTCCAAAAGACATAGATGTAAATAACGCTAATTCTTAGTCTAATTTCATGGAACTATTATACTAAAGGTTTAGATTCCTCGATAATCCCAAAGTTTATTTAAAGATCTAAATAAGGAATAACCAAGTAAGATCATATCGGAGGTAGAGTCCGTTTGATATACAGAGTATACTGTTTGGAAATCCCACTTTAAACACCTCACCAAATCCA